AGCTCACCTGCCCGAAGGGCAAGTGAGCTTATGTTATGGTGCGGCGTCCGGCGTCCGACCGTCCGACCATCCGTCCACTGTCCGGCGTCCGGCGTCCGTCTGTCCGGCGTCAACTTTTTACTTTAAACAACTTCTTCTCAATAACCAAAAGGCCCAGGGTACTGATATTAGGCCTGTAGCATGCTGGGATGAAGGGCTACAAAATTTGTTCAAATAAATGACCTTGACCCACTTTCAAGGTCACAGGGGTCAAATATGTTAAAATCTTCAAACAACTTCTTCTCAATAACCGAAAGGCCCAGGGTACTGATATTAGGCCTGTAGCATGCTGGGATGAAGGGCTACAAAGTTTGTTCAAATGAATGACCTTGACCCACTTTCAAGGTCACAGGGGTCAAATATGTTAAAATCTTCAAACAACTTCTTCTCAATAACCGAAAGGCCCAGGGTACTGATATTAGGCCTGTAGCATGCTGGGATGAAGGGCTACAAAGTTTGTTCAAATGAATGACCTTGACCCACTTTCAAGGTCACTGGGGTCAGATGTCTTAAAATCTTCAAACAACTTCTTCTCAATAACCAAAAGGCCCAGGGTACTTATATTGGGCCTGTAGCATGCTGGGATGAAGGGCTACCAAGTTTGTTCAAATGAATGACCTTGACCCACTTTCAAGGTCACTGGGGTCAGATGTCTTAAAATCTTCAAACAACTTCTTCTCAATAACCAAAAGGCCCAGGGTACTGATATTGGGCCTGTAGCATGCTGGGATGAAGGGCTACCAAGTTTGTTAAAATGTTTGACCTTGACCAACTTTCAAGGTCACTGGGGTCAGATGTCTTAAAATCTTCAAACGCCTTCTTCTCAATAACCAAAACGCCCAGGGTACTGATATTGGGCCTGTAGCATGCTGGGATGAAGGGCTACCAAGTTTGTTCAAATGAATGACCTTGACCAGCTTTCAAGGTCACAGGGGTCAAATGTTTTAAAATCTTCAAACAACTTCTCAATAACCAAAAGGCCCAGGGTACTGAAATTAGGCCTGTAGCATGCTGGGATGAAGGACTACCAAGTTTAATCAAATGAATGACCTTGATCCACTTTCATCCTGATGTCCTTGTTCGACATTCAAGGTCACAGGCGTCATATGTTTAAATCTTTTAATAGGTTCTTATGAATCAAACACTGATATTCGGCCTGTAGCTGTATTTTAGTCCACTTTTAAGATGACAAGTGTGAGATTAATACCAGGTGAGCGATGCAGGCCCATTGGGCCTCTTGTTTTTAATAGTGACCTTGACCTTTGGTTGCCATCTTGGATTTTGGGATATAGAAATTATGGTATTCACAGAGGATACCTAACAAATACCACTTTCCACCAAAACCAACACCAATGGGTCACAAACACCATAACAATATATTTTGACAGTATTCCCCATTCTATTTTTAGTATGTGACTGACTTTCCGTAGTTTTTCAACACCTATTGCACATCTGCATTTAACAATGTAAAATTTCAGAAATTTTAGACATCTGGATTGTGAAATGATCTCCGACATACCTCACCAGCCATCCTAGACATACCTCACCAGCCATCCTAGACATGATACCTCACCGGCCACCCTAGACATGATACCTCACCGACCATCCTAGACATGATACCTCACCAGTCATCCTTGACATGATACCTCACCAGCCATCCTAGACATGATACCTCACCAGTCATCCTAGACATGATACCTCACCAGTCATCCTAGACATGATACCTCACCAGCCATACTAGACATGATACCTCACAAGCCATCCTAGACATGATACCTCACCAGCCATCCTTGACATGATACCTCACCAGCCATCCTAGACATGATCCCTCACCAGCCATCCTAGATATGATCCCTCACCAGCCATCCTAGATATGATACCTCCCCAGCCATCCTAGACATGATACCTCACCAGTCATCCTAGACATATCTCACCAGTCATCCTAGACATGACACCTCACCAGCCATCCTAGACATGATACCCCACCAGCCATCCTAGACATATCTCACCAGCCATCCTAGACATGATACCTCACAAGTCATCCTAGAAATACCTCACCAGCCATCCTAGACATGACACCTCACCAGCCATCCTAGACATGATACCCCACCAGCCATCCTAGACATATCTCACCAGCCATCCTAGACATGATACCTCACAAGTCATCCTAGAAATACCTCACCAGCCATCCTAGACATGACACCTCACCAGCCATCCTAGACATGATACCCCACCAGCCATCCTAGACATATCTCACCAGCCATCCTAGACATGATCCCTCACCAGCCATCCTAGCCATACCCCCCCAGCCATCCTAGACATGATACCTCACCAGCCACCCTAGACATGATACCTCACCAGCCATCCTAGACATGATCCCCCACCAGTCATCCTAGACATACCTCACCAGTCATACTAGACATGATACCTCACCAGCCATCCTAGACATGATCCCTCACCAGCCATCCTAGATATGATCCCTCACCAGCCATCCTAGATATGATACCTCCCCAGCCATCCTAGACATGATCCCTCACCGGCCACCCTAGACATGATACCTCACCGACCATCCTAGACATGATACCTCACCAGTCATCCTAGACATATCTCACCAGTCATCCTAGACATGACACCTCACCAGCCATCCTAGACATGATACCCCACCAGCCATCCTAGACATATCTCACCAGCCATCCTAGACATGATCCCTCACCAGCCATCCTAGATATGATCCCTCACCAGCCATCCTAGACATACCTCACCAGCCATCCTAAATATGATACGTCACCAGCCATCCTAGACATGATACCTCACCAGGCATCCTAGACATGACACCTCACCAGTCATCCTAGACATACCTCACCAGTCATCCTAGACATGATACCTCACCAGCCATACTAGACATGATACCTCACCAGCCATCCTAGACATGATACCTCACCAGCCATCCTAGACACACCTCACCAGCCATCCTAGACATACCTCACCAGTCATCCTAGACATACCTCACCAGTCTTCCTAGACATGATACCTCACCAGCCATACTAGACATGATAGCTCACCAGCCATCCTAGACATGATACCTCACCAGGCATCCTAGACATGACACCTCACCAGTCATCCTAGACATACCTCACCAGTCTTCCTAGACATGATACCTCACCAGCCATACTAGACATGATACCTCACCAGCCATCCTAGATATGATACCTCACAAGCCATCCTAGACATATCTCACCAGCCATCCTAGACATGATACCTCACAAGTCATCCTAGAAATACCTCACCAGCCATACAAGCCATGACACCTCACCAGCCATCCTAGACATGATACCTCACAAGTCATCCTAGACATACCTCACCAGCCATCCTAGACATGATAACTCGCCAGTCATCCTAGACATGACCCCTCACCAGTCATCCTAGACATGATACCTCACCAGTCATCCTAGACATACCCCACCAGTCATACTAGACATGATACCTCACCAGCCATCCTAGACATGATAACTCACCAGTCATCCTAGACATGACACCTCACCAGTCATCCTAGACATGATACCTCACCATCATCCTAGACATAACTCACCAGCCATCCTAGACATGATACCTCACCAGTCATCCTAGACATACCTCACCAGCCATCCTAGACATGACACCTCACCAGTCATCCTAGACATGATACCTCACCAGTCATCCTAGACATACCCCACCAGTCATCCTAGACATGACACCTCACCAGCCATCCTAGACATATCTCACCAGTCATCCTAGACATATCTCACCAGTCATCCTAGACATATCTCACCAGCCATCCTAGACATGATACCTCACCAGTCATCCTAGACATATCTCACCAGTCATCCTAGACATGACACCTCACCAGTCATCTTAGACATGACACCTCACCAGCCATCCTAGACATATCTCACCAGTCATCCTAGACATGACACCTCACCAGTCATCTTAGACATGACACCTCCCCAGCCATCCTAGACATATCTCACCAGTCATCCTAGACATATCTCCCCAGCCATCCTAGACATGATCCCCCACCAGCCATCCTAGACATACCTCACCGGCCATCCTAGACATACCTCACCAGCCATCCTAGATATGATACCTCACCAGTCATCCTAGACATGATACCCTCACCAGTCATCCTAGACATGATACCTCACCAGCCTTCCTAGACATACCTCACCAGCCATCCTAGACATGACCCCTCACCAGCCATCCTAGACATATCTCCCCAGTCATCCTAGACATATCTCACCAGTCATCCTAGACATATCTCACCAGTCATCCTAGACATATCTCCCCAGCCATCCTAGACATGATCCCTCCCCAGCCATCCTAGACATACCTCCCCAGCCATCCTAGAAATGATACCTCACCAGCCATCCTAGACATGATCCCTCACCAGCCATCCTAGACATGATCCCTCACCAGCCATCCTAGACATACCTCACCAGTCATCCTAGACATGATACCTCACCAGTCATCCTAGACATATCTCACCAGTCATCCTAGACATATCTCCCCAGCCATCCTAGACATGATCCCTCCCCAGCCATCCTAGACATACCTCCCCAGCCATCCTAGACATGACACCTCACCAGCCACCCTAGACATACCTCACCAGCCATCCTAGACATGACCCCTCACCAGCCATCCTAGACATATCTCCCCAGTCATCCTAGACATATCTCACCAGTCATCCTAGACATATCTCCCCAGCCATCCTAGACATGATCCCCCACCAGCCATCCTAGACATACCTCCCCAGCCATCCTAGACATGACACCTTACCAGTCATCCCAGACATACCTCACCGGCCATCCTAGACATACCTCACCAGCCATCCTAGACATGACACCTTACCAGTCATCCTAGACATACCTCACCGGCCATCCTAGACATACCTCACTGCCAGTGTACAGTATGACAAACATTTAAAATGTAGTGAAATATATTTATTCACATCTTCAGCAAATTTTCATAAAAAAATATTTATTAGTATATTCATTCAATTTGGCTTGAATCTCAAATGTGTTAATATCTTAACAAAATTAGATAATGATACGTCTATGACGTGCCATATTTCAGCAGTATGTTCTTGTCACAGAAACATGGTACAAGTACCAATCATAAATCCAAAATCTGTTCATGTCCATTTTGTATGTTTTTAAAACTCTTTATGTGAGTTTGCACTCTAACATTATTTACAATTATACCTTAGGTGAAGCCAGACTACTCTGTATGAATGGGCTCCTTTTTGTTTTGATGTTTTTTAATTTTCTATTATCACACTGCATATATCCAGCATTTTTCCTTTTTTTTGTGGGGGAGGGGGGGTAGCTGTTGCCCCTTTCTTTTTAAAAATGCAGTGACATCAGCCAAAATGTATATCTGAAACTGATCTTCAATTTATTTAACTTCACATGGATGCAGACCTGTACAATTTAAGATAATAATCTCAAAAAGGTTTCCGACAGATCAATTTTGTATCTATTTTGTGTTGAAGTTCTGCCCGATTCCCGTGACTTTTATACATTTTTCTTCTAAATTTGACCAACTTTAAGGGTTAGTAATTCCCAACACACACAAATAATCTAGTTACACTGTGTTTTATTATATATATGTTATTTTGAGACCCTGGTTTGAGGTCATGTATCCTCCATAGTAAGAACCCAATCTATCCCTGAATACACACTATTACACAGGACTCCTTCACATCTATAGAGTAGGGTAATACCATGCACCATGTGGCACAAACCAAACTTTAACAGACGCGGGAAAGTTCAAGTGTTAGTTTCTGTATTCTTTTTTATGTCTCGTTACTAATTTCAGTTCGTATTGCTTTGCTAGATCAGATTGTATATATTTTTAATGAATCATCCGAATATTTTAATCACTCAAGCTAAGTTTGTTTTATTTAATATACATCTGTGCTGTTACTGTACACTTGTCATGTACCAGTAGTGTCTGGAGAGCTAGTTGATAGGGCTCTTAAGTAATTGGTATTTAATCTGATACATGTATTTCATGATTTATTACATGTTATCTAATAACTGTATTCAATATGTTAATTATTTATGTATCTATCTTCCTTGTACTGTTGTCATACTAATGATTGTCACAAAAAATAGCTCTGAAGTGTTGATGTCACATGTTCAACATGTGTGACTTTTAATGTTTCTGTATGGTAAGTAGATTAGTGACTACATACAAGTATCATCATAAGAATGCTGCAACAATGGTTAAGTTCACGTTTTTGTGATAAAGATGTCCTCTCACCAGGAAGACAATTTCATTTTCAATAGTCAACATCTCCAGTGATTTAATATCTGATTCACACAGATCTTTGTCTGACAATGGGATCTGTCAGAGTCCACTCCTGTCAGATCTAAATTATAAACAGTGCTTTCAGAATGATTTATCAGTCACAGTGTAGGTGTACCGGGATCTCCTAGCAGTAGCTATCACACAGAAAACTCAAAGAGGCACTCTCATTTGGAACCTGATTTCAAAAAAGTGCAAGTATCCATGATAACAATATACATATATGTTTAAACATTTTCTTGATCAGCATCAACTTCTCATCTGGTCAAATCTTCAACAATTCTTTGGTGGAACAGTTTGCATCTGAAATATTAACAAAAACAAAACAAGATAAGTTTATAACAGTGATTACTCTATTTTTACACAATCTCTGTAGCAGCAAAATGCTGACATATAAGCATTACAAGTTTCCACATGGTTATAATAACAAGAGGCCTATTGGGCATGTATCGTTTAATTGTTTCTTTTGTTATGTGTCAAAAAGATGAAATGTTTCCACTAAGTTGATATTTGGTGACCATTTCAAATTTCATACAGACATGAGATTACAATAGGCCAAAAAGTTTTTAATTACTCACCTGGCTATTTTAGAAATATAGATTTTTAAAGGTAGAAATCTGAGTCTCCAAGAATGTTGTACCTTAATTTGTATAACTTTTGATCCGCATATACTAAGATGCATGCACTGTAATTTAGTTGAAACCTGCCCAATAATTTTTGGAAGAGATATAACTTTTTGATGACTTTTCATCCCCACTTGCTAAGATTCTAGCATCAAAATTGGTTTAAAACCAGGTCCATAGAGTTTAGGAGATACCGTTTAATACAATGTTGATTGATGGCAAAATATGAAGACAATGGATGAAGCACCACAAGATAAGTTCATTGTAGTACACAATACGTTGTAACAAATAAACTTACAACCTATGAAGGGAGATAACTTGTGGACATGGCACAACACTCTGAGATGTTCACTAACAGGTTTAGTCAGTGCCATCTATCTTCAATCACAACCCTCTGAGATGTTCACCAACAGGTTTAGTCAGTCCCATCTATCTTCAACCACAACACCCTGAGATGTTCACTAACAGGTATAATCAGTGCCATCTATCTTCAACCACAACACTCTGAGATGTTCACTAACAAGTTTAGTCACTGCCACCTATCTTCAATCACAACACTCTGAGATGTTCACTAACAGGTATGATCAGTGCCATCTATCTTCAATCACAACACTCTGAGATGTTCACTAACAAGTTTAGTCACTGCCACCTATCTTCAATCACAACACTCTGAGATGTTCACTAACAGGTATAGTCACTGCCATCTATCTTCAATCACAACACTCTGAGATGTTCACCAACAGGTTAAGTCAGTGCCATCTATCTTCAATCACAACACTCTGAGATGTTCACTAACATACCTACCATTGTTTAACTGAGGTATCGTCCCCATCCTGTTTCCTACCATTGTTTAACTGAGGTATCGTCCCCATCCTATTACCTACCATTGTTTAACTGAGGTATTGTCCCCATCCTATTACCTACCATTGTTTAACCGTGGTATCGTCCCCATCCCATTACCTACCATTGTTTAACTGAGGTATTGTCCCATCCTATTACCTTCCATTGTTTAACTGAGGTATCGTCCCCATCCTATTCCCTACCATTGTTTAACTGAGGTATTGTCCCATCCTATTACCTTCCATTGTTTAACTGAGGTATCGTTCTGCTCCTATTACCTACCATTGTTTAACTGAGGTATCGTCCCCATCCTGTTTCCTACCATTGTTTAACTGAGGTATCGTCCCCATCCTATTTCCTGCCATTGTTTAACTGAGGTATTGTCCCCATCCTATTACCTACCATTGTTTAACTGAGGTATTGCCCCATCCTATTACCTACCATTGTTTAACTGAGGTATCGTCTCTGTCCTATTACCTACCATTGTTTAACTGAGGTATCGTCCCTGTCCTATTTCCTACCATTGTTTAACTGAGGTATCGTTCTGCTCCTATTACCTACCATTGTTTAACTGAGGTATAACTGAGGTATCGTCCCCATCCTATTAGCTACCATTGTTTACCTGAGGTATCGCCCCCGTTCTATTACCTACCATTGTTTAACAGAGGTATCTTACCCGTCCTATTACGTACCATTGTTTAACTGAGGTATAGTCCCCATCCTATTACCTACCATTCTTTAACTGAGGTATCGTCCCCATCCTATTACATTGTTTAACTGAGGTATCGTCCCTGTCCTATTTCCTACTATTGTTTAACTGAGGTATCGTTCTGCTCCTATTACCTACCATTGTTTAACTGAGGTATTGTCCCCATCCTATTACCTCCCATTGTTTAACTGAGGTATTGCCCCATCCTATTACCTACCATTGTTTAACTATGGTATCGTCCCATCCTATTCCCTACCATTCTTTAACTGAGGTAACGTCCCCATCCTATTACCTACCATTGTTTCACTGAGGTAACGTCCCTATCCTATTACCTACCATTGTTAAACTGAGGTATCGTCCCCATCCTATTAGCTACCATTGTTTACCTGAGGTATCGCCCCCGTTCTATTACCTACCATTGTTTAACAGAGGTATCTTCCCCGTCCTATTACGTACCATTGTTTAACTGAGGTATCGTCCCCGTCCTATTACCAACCATTGTTTAACTGAGGTATCGTTCTGCTCCTATTACCAACCATTGTTTAACTGAGGTATCGTTCTGCTCCTATTACCTACCATTGTTTAACTGAGGTATAACTGAGGTATCGTCCCCATCCTATTAACTACCATTGTTTAACTGAGGTATCGTCCCATCCTATTCCCTACCATTGTTTAACTGAGGTATCTTCCGCATCCTATTATCTACGATTGTTTAACTGAGGTATCGTCCCCATCCTATTACCTACCATTGTTATACTGAGGTATCGTCCCATCCTATTACCTACCATTGTTTAACTATGGTATCGTCCCCATCCTATTACCTACCATTGTTTAACTGAGGTATCGTCCCCATCCTATTACCTACCATTGTTTAACCGTGGAATCGTCCCCATCCTATTACCTACCCTTGTTTAACCGAGGTATCTTCCCCGTCTTATTACGTACCATTGTTTAACTGAGGTATAGTCCCCATCCTATTACCTACCATTGTTTAACTTAGGTATCGTCCCCATCCTATTACCTACCATTGTTGAACTGAGGTATCGTCCCCATCCTATTACCTGCCTTTGTTTAACTGAGGGATCGTCCCCATCCTATTACCTACCATTGTTTAACTTAGGTATCGTCCCCATCCTATTACCTACCATTGTTTAACCGTGGAATCGTCCCCATCCTATTACCTACCCTTGTTTAAACGAGGTATCTTCCCCGTCTTATTACGTACCATTGTTTAACTGAGGCATAGTCCCCATCCTATTACCTACCATTGTTTAACTGAGGTATCGTTCCCGTCCTATTACCTACAATAGTTTAACTGAGGTATCGTCTCTGTCCTATTACCTACCATTGTTTAACTGAGGTATCGTTCTGCTCCTATTACCTACCATTGTTTAACTGAGGTATTGTCCCATCCTATTACCTACCATTGTTTAACTGAGGCATCGTCCCCGTCCTATTACCTACCATTGTTTAACTGAGGCATTGTCTGCTCCTATTACCTACCATTGTTTAACTGTCGTATCGTCCCATCCTATTACCTACCATTGTTTAACTATGGTATCGTCCCATCCTATAGGTATTGTCCCCATCCTATTACCTACCATTGTTTAACTGAGGTAACGTCCCATCCTATTACCTACCATTGTTTAACTGAGGCATCGTCCCCGTCCTATTACCTACCATTGTTTAACTGAGGGATTGTCTGCTCATATTACCTACCATTGTTTAACTGTGGTATCGTCCCATCCTATTACTTACCATTGTTACCTACCATTGTTTAACAGAGGTATCTTCCCCTTCCTATTATGTACCATTGTTTAACTGAGGTATAGTCCCCATCCAATTACCTACCATTGTTTAACTGAGGTATCGTCCCATCCTATTACCTTCCATTGTTTAACTGAGGTATTGTCTGCTCCTATTACCTTTTACCTGAGGTATCGTCCCCGTTCTATTACCTACCATTGTTTAACAGAGGTATCTTCCCCGTCCTATTATGTACCATTGTTTAACTGAGGTATAGTCCCCATCCTATTACCTACCATTGTTTAACTGAGGTATCGTCCCATCCTATTACCTACCATTGTTTAACTGAGGTATCGTCCCCATGCTATTACCAACCATTGTTTAACTGAGGTATCGTCCCCGTCCTATTACCTACCATTGTTTAACTAAGGTATCGTCCCTATCCTATTACCTACCATTGTTTAACTGAGGTATTGTCTGCTCCTATTACCTACCATTGTTTAACTGAGGTATTGTCTGCTCCTGTTACCTACCATTGTTTAACTGAGGTATCGTCCCATCCTATTACCTGCCATTGTTTAACTGAGGTATCGTCCCCATCCTATTATCTTTGTTTAACTGAGGTATCGTCCCCATCCTATTATCTTTGTTTAACTGAGGTATCGTCCCCATCCTATTATCTCCCATTGTTTAACTGAGGTATCGTCCCCGTCCTATTCCCTAACATTGTTTAACTAAGGTATCGTCCCTATCCTATTACCTACCATTGTTTAACTGAGGTATCGTCCCATCCTATTACCTGCCATTGTTTAACTGAGGTATCGTCCCCATCCTATTATCTCCCATTGTTTAACTGAGGTATCGTCCCCGTCCTATTATCTACCATTGTTTAACTGAGGTATTGTCTGCTCCTGTTACCTACCATTGTTTAACTGAGGTATCGTCCCATCCTATTACCTGCCATTGTTTAACTGAGGTATCGTCCCATCCTATTACCTGCCATTGTTTAACTGAGGTATCGTCCCATCCTATTACCTTCCATTGTTTAACTGAGGTATCGTCCCCATCCTATTATCTCCCATTGTTTAACTGAGGTATCGTCCCCGTCCTATTTCCTACCATTGTTTAACTGAGGTATCGTCCCCGTCCTATTACCTAACATTGTTTAACAGTGGTATTGTCCCCGTCCTATTACCTACCATTGTTTAACTGAGGCATTGTCTGCTCCTATTACCTACCATTGTTTAACTGTGGTATCGTCCCATCCTATTACCTACCATTGTTTAACTATGGTATCGTCCCATCCTATTACCTACCATTCTTTAACTGAGGTATCGTCCCCATCCTATTACCTACCATTGTTTAACTGAGGTATCGTCCCCATCCTATTACCTACCATTGTTTAACTGAGGTATCGTCCCCGTCCTATTAGCTACCATTGTTTACCTGAGTTAACGTCCCCGTTCTATTATCTACCATTGTTTAACTGAGGTATCTTCCCCGTCCTATTACGTACCATTGTTTAACTGAGGTATAGTCCCCATCCTATTACCTACCATTGTTTAACTGAGGTATCGTCCCCATCCTATTACCTACCATTGTTTAACTGAGGTATCTTCCCCGTCCTATTACGTACCATTGTTTAACCGAGGTATCGTCCCCATCCTATTACCTACCATTGTTTGACCGAGGTATCGTCCCCATCCTATTATCTACCATTGTTTAACTGAGGTATCGTCCCCATCCTATTACCTACCATTGTTTAACCGTGGTATCGTCCCCATCCTATTACCTACCATTGTTTAAATTGTTTAACTGAGGTATCGTCCCCATCCTATTACCTACCATTGTTTAAATGAGGTATTGTTCCCGTCCTATTACCTACAATAGTTTAACTGAGGTATCGTCCCTGTCCTTTTACCTACCATTGTTTAACTGAGGTATCGTTCTGCTCCTATTACCAACCATTGTTTAACTGAGGTATCGTCCCCGTCCTATTACCTTCCATTGTTTAACTGAGGTATTGTCTGCTCCTATTACCTACCATTGTTTAACTGTGGTATCGTCCCATCCTATTACTTACCATTGTTAAACTATGGTATCGTCCCATCCTATTACCTACCATTGTTTAACTGAGGTATCGTCCCCGTCCTATTACCTACCATTGTTTAACTGTGGTATCGTCCCATCCTATTACTTACCATTGTTAAACTATGGTATCGTCCCATCCTATTACCTACCATGGTTTAACTGAGGTATTGTCTGCTCCTATTACCTACCATTGTTTAACTGAGGTATCGTTCTGCTCCTATTACCAACCATTGTTTAACTGAGGTATCGTCCCCGTCCTATTCCCTACCATTGTTTAACTGAGGTATTGTCCCATCCTATTACCTACCATTGTTTAACTGAGGTATTGTCCCCGTCTTCTTCTTCATCACTATCCTCTCTGTTTTCATTTCTGGCTGTAAAGACATCTGAGGTATCGTCCCCGTCCTATTACCTACCATTGTTTAACTGAGGTATTGTCCCCGTCTTCTTCTGCATCACTATCCTCTCTGTTTTCATTTCTGGCTGTAAAGACATAGCAGAAAGTTTAAATTCATTATCAAGAAATAACTATCCTTAGCAGAGAAATAACATATTCAGTATATTATATATACTATAGTCCTGCAGGTAAAACTTTTACAGCTATTACCCTAACCCTGACAGGGAAAGAAAAAGAGTACTGTATATTTTATTACCAGTGAGTTATCAAACTCCATCAATTTCATAAACAATACTTTCCACACAGTGTGAAAATATCAATTTTGATTAACCAATCAAAACTGTACTTATTATTTACTTCATTCAAAGATTTCCTGTTCAAACAGAGATAAAGTGATGGTCGAATAAGTGGCTTTTTTGGTACATCTTTGCTTATTATACTAAAGTGTTTATCTGAATACACAACTGCAAACATGTCATCAAAATCTTACCAAACGATAACAGAAAATGGTAGAATTGTGTCACATAACCCGGTCAAAAGTGTGCACAGCCATGCTGTCAAGCATGGTGAGATTAGAGATTTTTATTATCACTCAGGCACACTATTGTGCGCAACAAGAGGTCATTATAAAGTACAATATAACAATGATATGGTTGACCGTAAAGCACTCATCTTACTATGCTAGCGTATAATAATATAGTGGAAACTATTACACTCCTTATACAATGATAAACACAATATTACACTGTTCATACGTACTATCATACCTTATTATAATAGACAATATAACGCACTGCTCATACACTGACACTCATCATACACTGTGATATACATTTTTACACTCATTTTACAATACTATTACGATGGTATAATACATAGCATTACATTCACATTTAGAGTATGGCACCAATGACTACGCTATAAAATCCCAAACGGTTTAAAATCAGTTATATTTATGTCATTGAAAATAGTATTAAAATGTAATAAGACAAACATTTAATGGCCTGTTGACAAACATTTAATGGCCTGTTGACAAACATTTAATGGCCTGTTGAATATCATATATTTCACTTGTATGGCAGAATATACCAATATCTTGATATGTGCTTTGAACTTGTGAAAAAAAAGTTTTTCTGCAATACTTGTGAAATATAGCTGGTATTCATTGGGAAACCATTGTAATAGTTCATGTCTACCCAAATCTCTTAGAAAAAAGGATTTTATATGAATAGCTTGATTTCTATATCTGAAAGGCAAATGCTTAATTAATGCCTTTGTTCCTGGTTTTATACAACAAGAGGACCAATAGGCCTGAATCGCTCACCTGGTATTAATCTCACACTTGTAATCTTAAAAGTGGACTAATGTTCAGCTAAAGGCAAAATATCTGTGTTCGATTCATTAGAATCTATTAAATGATTTAAACATATGATGCCTGTGACCTTGAAAGTCAAACAAGGACATTAATTTGAACAGAGTTTATAGCCTTCCGTCAAAGCATACTTCTGGCCAAATATCATTACCCTGAACCTTTTGAATATTCAGAACAAGTCATTTACAGATTTAAACATATTTGATCATTATCCTATACCTCTTGGCCTATGGGTACTCAGAAGAAGTTGTTTACAGGTTTTAAACATATTTGACCCCTGTGACCTTGAAAATGGGTGAAGGTCATTTGTTTGAACAAAGTTGGTAGCCCTTCATCCCAGCATGTTACTGGCCAAATATCATCACCCTAGGCCTTTTGGTTATTCAGAAGAAGTTGTTCAAAGATTTTAACATATTTGACCCCTTTGACCTTGAAAATGGATGAAGGTCATTAATTTCGAACAAACTTAGTAGCCCTTGATTCCAGCATGCTACTGGCCAAATATCATCATCCTAGGCCTTTCGGTTACTGGAAAGAAGTTGTTTAAAGTAAAAAGTTGACGCCGGACAGATGGACGACTGATGCCGCACCATGGCTGACATAAGGGCAAGTGAGCTAAAATCACAAAATGGTCATCATGGTACAAATTACTGATATAAACTGTAGAAAATAACAGTTATACCAGATTAATGTTCTATTTTTTTCCACTTTATTTAAAACTAAATGATATGAGATGAGGTATCATAGGTAAACAACCCATGTCTGTCTATAAAATGATAACACAGTATCCAAGGTAAAATACCACTTACCCATCTCCTCTTTGTCTCGACGATATTTTTCCACCTGGAATTGAAAGTAAAGAAATTGTGCTCGCTCAGTTTGTTCCATATATGATCATATCTTTTCCCTTAAGTGACAGACTTTTCCTAACTTATAAACTGTTGATAATCTTGTTATAATTTTCTTTTCTTATAAATGTTATAAATAAGATGCATATTGTCTTCGCCCTTGAGGAACATGACTGACTAACAGATTTCAATCCTTTCCTCATACAAGGCTGATAAATGTATAGCATTGTATCACCTATATAACAACCATCTGACTGGATATATCACAAAACTTTAACACAAAATGTTCCCCTTTCCCATTTAAATTTCCAAAATCATATTTCCCCAATTCTCTATCAAAATCAAACAAGTAATCACCCCTTAAATCAGAGTGACCATGCTGATAACAATGGTGTCACTGTTCTACCGGGTATTTCAGTATTATCAAATGCTCATCACTCTTGCATTAGGGAAACATGATTATTTGTTACCCTTAAATCAACCATGTTTCACTTAGAAACACCTGCCTATAGAAAAAAAAATTGTCACAGTATTACTCCAGGTATGCCAGAGACAAATATGTGCTGCTGATTCACAACAATTTAAGAATTTTGTGAGATTTCCTTAAACATATTAACAACTCTTTTTAATCAGCTGTATTATGTAACAATCAATCAAGATCACCATTGGTCGATATTACGTATCCTATCTTACACAACAAAAAAGTATCTTGTTGAGATGACAGAACTCTTGTGATCTAACAGATAACATACCGCTACTTCATGTGTATCCCTGTTTTTACGTATTTCTATTGCCTCCTTTTCCAGCTTTTCCTTGAGAGCATGCATCCCCGACTCTGAGCAGACGATGTGTGCCTCCACATTTTTGGTACCAGTATTGAATATTATATCAATCTTTGACCCTTTTGCAGCCATCTTTCGCAGCCTCACACCTTTCCTCCCAATAAAGTTTCCGATGTCTTTCTGACGCAGTGCCGACAGGACTATGACCTCCTTGTGTATTTTCCTTGTTTGAGGGTTTGTAGAGATGGGCTCCAGGAGGCTACAGCGGTTGCTCTGTAGGAGTTGCTGTAGGATATAGAGGAACCTGCTGGCGCTCGACTGGCTGTCATCTAACAACTTTACCTGTATCAGTCGGTCTCGGAAAGTTTTAAGAAATCCATGGAATTCCTCACAAGGGTCCTGCTCTGCTATGAAGTGGTCAAAATAGGATTTTGCTGCTGTTATGTCTTCTGTTGAAATCGCTGCCCACCTTTCAGCTAAAACTTTATGTATGTTTTCTTCTTTGCTGTCGACTTGACCTGCAATATTTGCGAAAGTCAGGACAGATTATTGATAAAATCTTTGCCTTGAAATCTCAAAAGAAAAAACAAATATACCAGCTAATGTTTAAAGTAGTATGGAATAGGACTTTCAGCTAATACAGGATGTTAAAATGAATTATCATTATGATTTTACATGAAATTTATGAAACAAATCTAGATGTTTTCAAATAAGTGAATGTCTTCCGAGTACTTCTGTAATTTGTTAATAATGAATTTATAATTAAATTTTGTCAAGAATTTACAATAACAAGAGATCATTCTATTTAAGGACTTCCCACCCTTCGTAATACACATATTATTCTTGTCGTATGTTCATGTCGTCGTCTAAATGCCGTAGTGTAAATTATAGTTACACTTGGTAGACAATAGTACATGTGCGTGACGATGATATATGTCAACAACCGATATCAACACTTCACCGGGAAATGTTTGATCACACGTACTTAAGAAATAAAGATTCCAATACAAAGACATAAATGGACTCACGGGAAGACACCGACATGAGACAAGATGACTTTAAGAAGGTCATATATGAAGCGCATGGAATGCAGACTGGTGTGTTGTGTGTACTGACCTCACAATGGAATACAGACTGGTGTGTTATGTGTACTGACCTCACAATGGAATACAGACTGGTGTGTTATGTGTACTGACCTCACAATGGAATACAGACTGGTGTGTTATGTGTACTGACCTCACAATGGAATACAGACTGGTGTGTTATGTGTACTGACCTCACAATGGAATACAGACTGGTGTGTTATGTGTACTGACCTCACAATGGAATACAGACTGGTGTGTTATGTGTACTGACCTCACAATGGAATACAGACTGGTGTGTTATGTGTACTGACCTCACAATGGAATACAGACTGGTGTGTTATGTGTACTGACCTCACAATGGAATACAGACTGGTGTGTTATGTGTACTGACCTCACAATGGAATACAGACTGGTGTGTTATGTGTACTGACCTCACAATGGAATACAGACTGGTGTGTTATGTGTACTGACCTCACAATGGAATACAGACTGGTGTGTTATGTGTACTGACCTCACAATGGAATACAGACTGGTGTGTTATGTGTACTGACCTCACAATGGAATACAGACTGGTGTGTTATGTGTACTGACCTCACAATGGAATACAGACTGGTGTGTTATGTGTACTGACCTCACAATGGAATACAGACTGGTGTGTTATGTGTACTGACCTCACAATGGAATACAGACTGGTGTGTTATGTGTACTGACCTCACAATGGAATACAGACTGGTGTGTTATGTGTACTGACCTCACAATGGAATACAGACTGGTGTGTTATGTGTACTGACCTCACAATGGAATACAGACTGGTGTGTTATGTGTACTGACCTCACAATGGAATACAGACTGGTGTGTTATGTGTACTGACCTCACAATGGAATACAGACTGGTGTGTTATGTGTACTGACCTCACAATGGAATACAGACTGGTGTGTTATGTGTACTGACCTCACAATGGAATACAGACTGGTGTGTTATGTGTACTGACCTCACAATGGAATACAGACTGGTGTGTTATGTGTACTGACCTCACAATGGAATACAGACTGGTGTGTTATGTGTACTGACCTCACAATGGAATACAGACTGGTGTGTTATGTGTACTGACCTCACAATGGAATACAGACTGGTGTGTTATGTGTACTGACCTCACAATGGAATACAGACTGGTGTGTTATGTGTACTGACCTCACAATGGAATACAGACTGGTGTGTTATGTGTACTGACCTCACAATGGAATACAGACTGGTGTGTTATGTGTACTGACCTCACAATGGAATACAGACTGGTGTGTTATGTGTACTGACCTCACAATGGAATACAGACTGGTGTGTTATGTGTACTGACCTCACAATGGAATACAGACTGGTGTGTTATGTGTACTGACCTCACAATGGAATACAGACTGGTGTGTTATGTGTACTGACCTCACAATGGAATACAGACTGGTGTGTTATGTGTACTGACCTCACAATGGAATACAGACTGGTGTGTTATGTGTACTGACCTCACAATGGAATACAGACTGGTGTGTTATGTGTACTGACCTCACAATGAAATACAGACTGGTGTGTTATGTGTACTGATCTCACAATGGAATGCAGACTGGTGTGTTATGTGTACTGACCTCACATGTATGTATCACATGCTTACACCTATACACTAGCTCGAGGTCGTTACGATTCTTGCTGTCAAGGAAGTTATGCTCTGCCTAGTAAATTGTTTTTTCATATGCAGTGCACTATGTGAAAATATTGTTTTGTAAAATATCAAGATCCTGCATGAGTGAGTGCATGTGAGAACGGCATACCATGCGATAGTCACTCGGGTTACCGGACATGTAGATATACCATGCACTAGCGAGCTGTTGAATGATGTCCAAACTGTACATGATCGAGAGGAATTTGGTTCCATAACAAAACAATTGAAAATTTTGATGTAATAATTTTAACTAATTTAGATCATTATGATTAACATGTTTGCAAAAAGAGATAACTGTCATTGCATAAATTTTATCCCTCTGCAAAAAGTTCTGATTTTTTTCAAGGAAAACAACTCTAATATCAGGATCAAAGTGATTGTAAAATCTGTATATATTGTTCAATTTTTCACTCTTTTTGTATGAAACTATATGTCCTGTCTGCTTTTAGCTTGTTTGGTTTGTTTGTCTGAGTTTTATGTCCTATTAACAGCTATGGTCATTTAAGGACATGCCAGGATTTGATAGTGCAGGAAAGCTGGAGTTCCTGGAGAAAAAACCACCGCCAACGGCCAGTACCTGGCGACTGCCCTACATAGGTCTCGATCCCACGACCCAGTGGTGAAGGGCTAGTGGTAGCAGAATGTCAGGTGCTTTATAACCACTATTTCCTTTTTTATTGTTGTGATAGTTACGAACAATGCCACATACCAAAAAAAAATGGAAAATATTAAATTGACTAACATTCAACCTTTTGAGTATTTTTCCTCAAAAAATCTGCAGTCTATTTGAACGCTAAGATTTTCATAAAATCACCTATACATAGTTGCAAGCATAACCATTTACTCCAACAGTGTTGGTATACACAGCGAGATACTTTTGACAGGCGCAGCGTCGCAACTGTCGGCAAAACCATATCCGATAGACAAAAGGCCAACCAGCGGCCTCTTATATTATAGGAGTACATAACCATTATGTGAAAGTTTCAACGAATTGTGCTGGTAAAGATGGAGCTTCCTTAATCCTTACACATGCTCTTGTGACAATGGTTGGAAAATTAATTAAAATACGTTTGATTTACTTTTATATAATCAAATTTATAACAAAACATTTCTAACAGCGAATCTTATCATACGAGTGGACCAAACCACAGGGACCTGAGCATTTTTTACAGCTATATTTGGACCTAAGGTGTTCCTAGTAATATCGGACAATAAACGATAAATCCCGATACACTTATAAGCTTACCTGTAGTATCAATCTTACACGCGCAAATTATTCTGGGAATTCTTTTCAGATCTTCCAGCTGTAGCTTCCCATGTAACCTGTTTGTTATAAAGTGGAACTTGGCTCGCCATTTCATGTCATGACAGAGACAAGCCTTACGTGCATCAACCTCCATTTTGTGGAAATCGACGTTTTTCGTAATCTAACAGACGCTTATCACAGACAGTTTACCTCCTGGTGCAAACACTTATGTGGCCAAGATTTTCTACTTTCGTTTTGATCAAAAATAGTTTTTCCTGTAATTAAACGAAATCTGATGCAGACGATTATTTTAAAATCTTTGGTTTTAATCGTTTTAGATCACCTTGATATCAAACTTCAGCATATGCCTTGTGTGTTATACTGATGTCAATCTCATCAAATGCCCGGTCTTTTACACTGATGTCAAACTTCATGCAACGCTCAGTCTTCGTTGTGCTTATGTCAAACTTAGTCAAATGCCCGGTATGTTACACTGATGTCAAACTTCATCAAATGCCTGCTCTGTTATACTGATGTCAAATTTCATCAAATGCCCGGTCTGGTACACTGATGTCAAACTTCATCAAATGCCCAGTCTGTCAATTAAACTTTATCAAATTCCTGGTCCGTTACATTGATGTCAAACGTCATCAACTGCCTGGTCTGTTACACTGATGTCAAACTTCATCAAATTCCCAGTCTGTTACACTGATGTCAATTTAAGCTTCATCTAATGCCCGGTCTTTTAAACTGATGTCAAACTTCATCATTTGTCCAGTTTATTATACTGATGTAACGGAACTGGTCTGGGTTGAACGTTGGTGACCAGATAGCTCAGTTGGTAGAGCATCCGTCTAGATTTCGGAGGGTCCCTGGTTCGAACCCGAATCTGGCGGTGCATTTTTCCTCTCCTGTTACATTTGGCGCCCAACGAATTATACCCACAGAAGGTGGTATAGGGTCTAGTGTGTCTTCGGGGTAGAAGACTTTGTTAAAGGAGGGAGGAATGTAGCGGAACTGGACTAGGTCGTTCGTCAACAACCAGATAGCTCAATTGGTAGAGCATCCATCTAGAGCTCGGAGGGTCCAAGGTTCGAACCCCGGTCTGGCCGTGTATTTTTCCTCTCCTTTAACACTGATGTTAAGCATCATCAAATGCCCGGTCTGTTATACTGATGTCAAACTTCATCCAATGCCCAGTCTGTTACACTGATGTCAAACTTTATCAAATGCCTGGTCTGTTACACTGATGTCAAACTTCATCATTTGTACAGTCTGTTTCACTGATGTCAAACTTAATCAAATGCCCGGTCTTTTAAACTGATGTCAAACTTCATCAAATGCTTAGTCTGTTAAACTGATGTCAAACTTCATCAATTGCCCAGTCAGTTACATTGATGTCAAACTTCATCAAATGCTCAGTCTGTTACACTGATGTCAAACTTCATCAAATGCCTGGTCCGTTACACTGATGTCAAACTTCATCAAATGCCCGGTCTGTTACACTGATGTCAAATTTCATCAAATGCTCAGTCTGTTACACTGATGTCAAACTTCATCAAATGCTCAGTCTGTTACACTGATGTCAAACTTCATCAAATGCCTGGTCCGTTACACTGATGTCAAACTTCATCAAATGCCCGGTCTGTTACACTGATGTCAAATTTCATCAAATGCTCAGTCTGTTACACTGATGTCAAACTTCATCAAATGCTCAGTCTGTTACACTGATGTCAAACTTCATCAAATGCCTGGTCCGTTACACTGATGTCAAACTTCATCAAATGCCCGGTCTGTTACACTGATGTCAAATTTCATCAAATGCTCAGTCTGTTACACTGATGTCAAACTTCATCAAATGCTCAGTCTGTTACACTGATGTCAAACTTCATCAAATGCCTGGTCCGTTACACTGATGTCAAACTTCATCAAATGCCCGGTCTGTTACACTGATGTCAAATTTCATCAAATGCTCAGTCTGTTACACTGATGTCAAACTTCATCAAATGCTCAGTCTGTTACACTGATGTCAAACTTCATCAAATGCCTGGTCCGTTACACTGATGTCAAACTTCATCAAATGCCCGGTCTGTTACACTGATGTCAAATTTCATCAAATGCTCAGTCTGTTACACTGATGTCAAACTTCATCAAATGCCTGCTCTGTTAGACTGATGTCAAACTTCATCAAATGCCCAGTCTGTTAGAATGATGTCAAACTTCATCAAACGCTTGGTCTGCTACACTGATGTCAAACTTCATCAAATACCTGGTATGTAATACTGATGTCAAACTTCATCAAATGCTCGGTCTGCTACACTGATGTCAAACTTCATCAAATGCCTGGTCAGTTACACTGATGTCAAACTTCATCAAATGCCCAGTCTGTTATACTGATGTCAAACTTCATCAAATGCCCGGTCTGTTACATTGATGTCAAAATTCCTCAAATGCTCGGCCTGTTAAATTGATGTCAAACTTCATCAAATGCCCGGTCTGTTATATTGATGTCAAACTTCATCAAATGCCTGCTCTGTTAGACTGATGTCAAACTTCATCAAATGCCTGGTCGGTTAAACTGATGTCAAACTTCATCAAATGCACAGTCTGTTATACTGATGTCAAACTTTATCAAATGCCCAGTCTGTTATACTGAGGTCAAACTTCATCAAATGCCCAGTCCGTTATACTGATGTCAAACTTCATCAGATGCCCGGTCTGTTACATTGATGTCAAAATTCCTCAAATGCGCGGCCTGTTAAATTGATGTCAAACTTCATCAAATGCCTGGTCGGTTAAACTGATGTCAAACTTCATTAAAAGCCCGGTCTGTTATACTGATGTCAAAATTTCTCAAATGCCCAGCCTGTTAAACTGATGTCAAACTTCATTAAAAGCCCTGTCTGTTATACTGATGTCAAACTTCAGGTACACTGATGTCAAACTTCATCAAATTCCCAGTTTTTTATACTGATGTAAAACTTCATCAAATGCCCAGTCTGTAACACTGATGTCAAACTTCATCAAATGATCGGTCGGTTACACTGATGTCAAACTTCATCAAACACCCAGTCTGTCAACCTGATGTCAAACTTCATCAAACACCCAGCCTGTTAACCTGATGTCAAACTTCATCAAATGCCAAGTCTGTTATACTGATGTCAAACTTTATCAAATGCCCAGTCTGTTATACTGACCCCCAACTATATCAAATGACCCGTCTGTTACACTGATGTCAAACTTCATCGAATGCCCGGTCTGCTACACTGATGTCAAACTTCATCAATTGCCCGGTCAGTTACACCGATGTCAAGCTTCATCAAATGCCCGGTCTGTTATACTGATGTAAAACTTCATCAAATGCCTGGTATGTAATACTGATGTCAAACATCATCAAATGCCCGGTATGTTACACTGATGTCAAACTTCATCAAACACCCAGTCTGTCAACCTGATGTCAAACTTCATCAAACACCCAGTCTGTTAACCTGGTGTCAAACTTCATCAAACGCCCAGTCGGTTATCCTGATGTCAAACTTCATCAAACACCCAGTCTGTCAACCTGATGTCAAACTTCATCAAACACCCAGTCTGTTACCCTGATGTCAAACTTCATCAAATGCCCAGTTTGTTATACTGATGTCAAACTTCATCGAATGCCCAGTCTGTTATACTGATGTCCAACTTCATCAAATGCCCGGTCTGTTGTATTTATGTCAAACTTCATCAAATGCCTGCTCTGTTAGACTGATGTAAAACTTCATCAAATGCCTGGTCTGTTAGACTGATGTCAAACTTCATTAAAAGCCCTGTCTGTTATACTGATGTCAAACTTCACCAAATGCCCAGTCTTTTATACTGATGTCAAACTTCATCAATTATGTCAAACTTAGTCAAATGCCCGGTATGTTACACTGATGTCAAACTTCATCGAATGCCCGGTCTACTACACTGATGTCAAACTTCATCAATTGCCCGGTCAGTTACACCGATGTCAAGCTTCATCAAATGCCCGGTCTGTTATACTGATGTAAAACTTCATCAAATGCCCAGTCTGTCATACTGATGTCAAACTTCATCAAATGACCAGTCTGTTATACTGATGTCAAACCTCATCAAATGCCCAGTCTGTTATACAGATGTCAAACTTCATCAAATGCCCGATCTGTTACATTGATGTCAAAATTCCTCAAATGCTCGGCCTGTTAAATTGATGTCAAACTTCATCAAATGCCTTCATCAAACACCCAGTCTGTTAACGTGATGTCAAACTTCATCAAACGCCCGGTCTGTTCACTGATGTCAAACTTCATCAATTGCCCAATCTGTTACATTGATGTCAAACTTCATCAAATGCCTCGTCAGTTACACTGATGTCAAACTTCATCAAACATCCAATCTGTTCCACTGATGTCAAACTTCATCAAATGACTGGTCGGTTATACTGATGTCAAACTTCATCAAACATCCAATCTGTTACACTGATGTCAAACTTCATCACATGCCTGCTCTGTTAGACTGATGTCAAACTTCATCCAATGCCTGGTCTGTTAGACTAATGTCAAACTTCATCAAATGCCCAGTCTGCTGCACTGATGTCAAAATTCATCAAACATCCAATCTGTTCCACTGATGTCAAACTTCATCCAATGCCTGGTCTGTTAGACTAATGTCAAACTTCATCAAATGCCTGGTCAGTTACACTGATGTCAAACTTCATCAAATGGGGGTCTGTTGTACTGATGTCAAATTTCAACAAATGCCTGCTTTGTTAGACTGATGTCAAACTTCATCAAATGCCTGGTCTGTTAGACTAATGTCAAACTTCATCAAATGCCCAGTCTGCTACACTGATGTCAAAATTCATCAAATGCGGGTCTGTTATACTGATGTCAAGCTTCATCAAATGCCCGGTCTGCTACACTGATGTCAAACTTCATCAAATGCCTGGTCTGTTATACTGATGTCAAACTTCATCAAATGCCCGGTCTGTTGTATTGATGTCAAACTTCATCAAATGCCTGGTCTGTTAGACTAATGTCAAACTTCATCAAATGCCAAGACTGCTACACTGATGTCAAAATTCATCAAATGCGGGGCTGTTATACTGATGTCAAGCTTCATCAAATGCCCGGTCTGCTACACTGATGTCAAACTTCATCAAATGCCTGGTCGGTTAAACTGATGTCAAGCTT